TCAGGCTCAGTCCTTACTTTTTATAAATCAGGAAAGCAATACAGTTAAGAAATGCAGTTTGTATGACCTGGGTATTATTATAGTTTTTGAGAAACATTACTGTTAATCAACAGATAAATTAAACAAAAAAACAGTTTGCCCCGGCGTGTTCTTCTTAAAAGGTAAATTTTTGGCACCATATCCACTTCAAATAATTGAAGTGGATATGATGTCTGGAATCCATGGGTGTTCAATGCTAAACAGGTGAGTCAGCTTTAAGAAGACATGTTCAGTTCTTGGCAGCATGCAGCCCAGCCCCCAATTGTGACATGGCAAAAGTGGAGCTATCACTAGTGGTGACTCCAAATCTCAGAAATAAATAGAATGAAACAAGCTTCAACAAAATCAACAATAGCATTTATTCATCTATTAAGGCATTGAAAATCAGACGCACATTCGGCTAGTTGCCAACGCCATCCTAAGTATAGCATCCACAGATCTACACTTTTCGTATAAAAGAAAGAGTTATACAATACATTGTCAAGCTCAAATAATGCCGCCCAGAAGACCACAACCCCTAAGGAAAAGGCGAACGAGTTCAGAATTTAAAGTAGCCTTCCCATTTAAACATAGATAGCGGACATATAAAACCATGAATTCGATTAGTCATAGCAACTCATATCAGAAAGAAAAAAACTTGATTACAAAGTCTTACACAATACTTTATTCAATACAATACTTTATTCAATACAATACAATACTTTATTCATTACAATACAATAAAATACTTTATTCAATACAATACTTTATTCATTACAATACAATACAATACTGAATTCAATACAATACAATACTTTATTCAATACAATACTTTATTCAATACAATACTTTATTCCCTTAAGGATGTTAAGAAATCTTACATCATCCTAACTACAGTGGGCTTTAACACCATTACGACGTCATGGAACATCCTAACTTTTCGGTGGGAGGAAAATTAAATCGCTGTTCACACTGGGGAGAATCAAGTGTCCATTGATACCTGGGGATTCCCTTTATCACAGAGCGCTCTGTGCTTTGTGAGCGGAAAAATCTCACTGATGATGTCAATAGAGGATTAACCTCTGAGTTAGGAAGGATTAGGGCTAGTGTAGGGTAACTATTAGTGTAAGGATTAAAGCAGGTTTGGGGTTAGGGATAGTGCAGGGTTAATAGTAGGGTTGGTAGAGGTTAAGCCTTAACAAAAAATAAAATTAGATTCTAAACATATGAAGAATTTAACAATCAGGACTAATACAAAAAAAAACAGTTTTGAGTTATTTTTCTTTCGTTTTTTTTGCACTTAAAAATCATTTGCAAAAATTTGAAAAAAAATAAATATTTTTTTCAGCCCCATGGTATATCATGGTAGACAAGACCATGTTTTAAATGACAGAGGCAGAGCAAAAAAAAAGAAGAATGTGTAGTAAATGTACAACGTTTTCTCCTAATCTATCACTTAAAGGACCACTCTAGGCACCCAGACCACTTCAGCTTAATGAAGTGGTCTGGGTGCCAGGTCCCTCTAGGATTAACCCATTTTTTTTTTATAAACATAGCAGTTTCAGAGAAACTGCTATGTTTATAAATGGGTTAATCCAGCCTCTAAATCCTCTAGTGGCTGTCTCATTGACAGCCGCTAGAGGCGCTTGCGTGATTCTCACTGTGAAAATCACAGTGAGAACACGCAAGCGTCCATAGGAAAGCATTATGAATGGGAGGAGAGGAGGAGGAGAGGAGGAGGATAGCTCCCCGCCCGGCGCTGGAAAAAAGGTACGTTTTAACCCTTTCCTCTCCCAAGAGCCTGGCGGGAGGGGATCCCTGAGGGTGGGGGCACCCTCAGGGCACTATAGTGCCAGGAAAACGAGTATGTTTTCCTGGCACTATAGTGGTCCTTTAATTGTCAGCATAGAGGTCAAGGCCAACAAAATAGACCTGTATTCTGACAATTAAGTGACACATTTCAAGAAAATAAAAGCAGTCTGCAAATGTTTGTTAAGGCATGCAATGGATCCCCACACTTACTAATATTTTGAATAACCAAAGACATACTGACCATTTCATTTTACGTGAAATGTTTGGTGGTGGCTATTGGCATGACTAATCCAGAGTAATGAAAATACTTTGTGACCTACAAAAACAAGTTTATTGTTTCAGAATGACTGAAAGCAAAAATATCTGTATACATCTGCATACCAATAAATCAGAGCTTCTAGATAATAGACAGCAGCAGAGGTGGCAGTGGGTACCTACCTGGAGGGATCCATGTAACTTGTCAAACTGGTCCAACATGGTTTGACTAGGCTCAATGGTAATAGTGGCACAATAACCACTGCAGGAGGCTGTAGTGGTTATGATGCTTGGACTCAGTGTTCATTTGAAAAGCTGCATGTGTTTGGGATGACAGCATGGTGTGCGTGTGTGTCAGCATGTATTTTGTGTGTAGGGCTAGATAGTGTATTGTTTAGGGTGTCTGTGAGTGATGTATATTGCAGTGAGTGGGTACAATGAGTGGCTACGTATCGATATGTTGATCCTACCTAAAAATCGAAGAAAGAAAATTCCACCACGGGTGGAGCTTTAAAAAAAAAGTGTACATTTACTAATGATATATTTGTGTGTAGCTGTGACTGATATGTATTACCATGTGGGTCTCTGCTGAGCCCCAATGCCCTTCTCTTCGATTGGGCATTGTGTTCTGCAACAATATCAAGTGCAGACCATTTTAAGGGCTACCTTTCAGTCCCCTGAAAAACGTACACTGACGCAAAATTCAGAATCTCCAACACACACACAAAATTCAGCAACCACATATACAACACTCATTCAGCACATAGAGGAACACTCAGCTCCCACTTAAAGCGACACTGTCTTTGTCTGGGGGCTTTGCAGGTTATAACTGTTCAAGTTGGAAGTCAACTGTAAGAATGGATGTGTTTTGTAGATTAGAGGGTAGAGATGAAGATGAGGGTCAGATAAAATTCAGAATTAGAAAAAAATGGAGTCATCTAGGGCTAGTATGAATGGAATTATCAGTGAATTCAGCCATGGATAACCAATAGTCACAGTCTTTTTAAAGGGTTACTATAACAACGCAGGTATGTTTCGAGGCACTGGTTGACCCTATTTCACTGGTTGCTTGGGGGTGGAAAGAAGTGAATATTTAGAGATGAACAGAAGTTTTCCCAGAATTTAGAGATGAATTGCGTACCACGATCAGAATTAATTTCTTCTGTGAGACAATGTCAATTTTATGAAATTATCTATGAAAATAGAAGCAGTTTCTTTGGATGGAGGAAGATCAACAATGAAACTTGTAATTATTATTTTCCAAGATCTGGAAGGAGTAGAAGTAGACATAAGAAGTCCATGTGGACAGTGTAATTCAGGTTTGGACCTATTACAGATGACACATCTTAACATAGTTTTAAACATTTTCTGTAGTTAGGCCACCATAAATGTCTCTGAAGAAGTTCATTCGTTTTTCGTACACCAGGGTGTCCTGTCAAAGGATCATCAAGGAGGTGTCTCCGATTTTCAAGAGTATAATTGATAGCCAATAATTCTTTTTGTCCAACTAGGTAATTGCTCAGCTGCAGACAATGTTCTGGAAGAATAGGTGATAGGATTATGTTTTACACTTTGTTGATGTGATATAACTGCTTTGATTGCATAGTCTTAAGCATCCACCTCAAGTAGGTAGAATTGTGTAGGATCAGGAAGTTGTAGGGGATGGGGTTCTTGGGGTCATAGGCAGCATTCCTCCTCCTCCTCCAAACACGGCGAGTTGAGTTGATGCCAAAGACCTCGATTTCAGTCTCATCTGACTACAACACTCTCACCCAGTTCTCCTCTGACTCATTCAGATGTTAATTGGCAAACTTTAGACGGGCCTGTACATGTGCTTTTTTTGAGCAGGGGGACCTTGCGGGCGCTGCAGGATTTCAATCCTTCATGGACTTGGTGACTATGGTCCCAGCTGCATAGAGAGCATTAAGATCCTCCCGTGTAGTTCTGGGCTGATTCCTCAACGTTTCATGATCATTGAAACTCCATGAGGTGAGATCTTGTATGGAGCACCAGACTGAGGGAGATTTTGTGTTTCTCCTATTTGCGAATAATCGCACCAACTGTTGTGACCTTCTCACCAAGCTGCTTGGCGATGGTCTTGTAGCCCATTCCAGCCTTGAGTCTACAATCTTGTCCTTTGGCCATGATGGAGAGTTTGGAATGTGATTGATTGCTTCTGTGGACAGGTGTCTTCTATACAGGTAATGAGCTGAGATTAGGAGCACTCCCTTTAAGAGAGTGCTCCTAATCTCAGATCCTTACCTGTATAGAAGACACCTGGGAGCCAGACATCCTGTTGATTGATAGGGGATCAAATACTTATTTCACTCATTGACATGCAAGTCAATTTATAACTTTGACATGCGTTTTTCTGGAATTTGTTTTTGTTATTCTGTCTCTCACTGTTAAAATACACCTGCCATTAAAATTATAGACTGATCGGGGGCAGGGGCTGACTGTAATGGTGGAAAGACATGCTTTGTGCAAGCTCCTCTCCTATGCTGTAAATTTCAGCAATTTACAGCCTCACACAACTCAATCTACATCAAATCCAGCAACCTACTTGTCTATTGCCCCAGCTGACATACCCTACAGGTGTTTGGAGCAAGATAGAGACACATCTAAGGCACAACACGGAACATGCGGCCTGAAGTGAATCGGGCGGGAGAGGCGGCCGATCTCCCAGCCTGGAATGACCCTGCCTCACCCCTGGACAGGCACATAGAGTTAAGCCAAAGGGGCCGATGGAACCTTTAGCGAGGTACCTAAAATTGCGTACACCATGAGGCTTCCTGTCCTCCCCAGAGAAAAGCTTGATCTCCAGTCCAGGCTGGACATAATCTTTAAAAACTTCTGGCTGTAACTGGAGCAAAGGATGCATCAAGAAGCCCCACAGCAGCCGAGAGAAAACACACCTCCCATGCGGACTCCAATCCGGCAGCAGAAGTCCATAGCTCCGGCTAGCAAAAAGGCCCCAGAATGGCGGCGAGTGAAGAGGCGCCCATCGCTTTGGTTGCGGGCAGCACATGAGCGGGCACAGCTTCGCCCTAGTCTTGGGTCTTCAGATGCACCACACGTGGTGATGGAGACCTCAGCTCCAATGAGCGGCTCTGTCATCTGGTCCACCTTGAGGTCTGGAAATGTGCGGTGTTTCACCATGCAGCTAGACTGTATTATACCCATGGAAGGTATCAGGTGAGCTGGGTTCTTGGACTGTGCAGAGAAGAGCAAGGGGTTACCTTACCTCCTAACCACTACATCAGTAGGGTTGACTCACTGCCTATTATTTTGACATTAATTACTTACTTCGCCGATTCTGAATCCGAAACAGCATAACATTGCTTTACCACACTCTACCTGTCACCAGCCTGGGACCTCCCTGGGGGTCTACTCTTGTTTCCAATTGTTAGGTTTCTTTTTACTGAGCAGGCGTTATAAATTGTTGCAAATGTGTCACAAGAAATGTTTACGTAATACTTTCTATAAAATGTCCTGTCATTCATGCTATATCTATACCTTTTCTTTACATCAGACTGCCTTGATAAATCATACTGTCAAGTTGTACACTCTGATAGGTCTAATGCTTTTGTTTGTATACACACTGCAGTACTATGCTTACCATTATTATTAATTTGCCTATGACCTTCTTAATCAAAACTATGCATGTTCTAACTCACTGTTACTAAGCAGGTCCTGTGATGTATGCTGATGTTCCTAGCCTATTTTCTCTACAATATAAAAATGTGCTGTTTTGTCTGCCATGATAAAGATTGTCACTGCGTTGCTTGCTCTTGCTGTTGTGGCAAAGCAAGCCTGTTTGTAATCTAAAACACAGCAAAAATAAAGATTATAAAGAAAAAATTATAGACTGATCATTTCTTAGTCAGTGGGCAAACGTTCAAAATCAACAGGGGATCAAATATTTTTTTCCCTCAATGTATCTACTTTATTTTATTATTATTATTTACTTTACTATAATCATAGGTGATTGTAGTCCTTTTAGGGAGGTGTTGGCTGACTGGTCATGCACCAGTTGTCATCCTGACCGCAGTGGACCATCACAAGTGCACTATTAGAAGCCTCAATGCACGTTTTGCCTAGAACACGCTCTTCGAGAGGGAATGAGATTTGGGTACAAGAAAAATTTAAATAGATCCTTCAACCTATGATTGACTCATGGATGCGCCCAATGGAGTCTCGCTACGTATCGATATGTCGATCCAACCTAAAAATCGGAGAAAGAAAATTCCACCACAAGGTGGAGCTTAAAAAAAATGGTACATTTACTAAGTGTCATACTATGTAATGGAAATGCATATAAATGAATGCAAAAAATAGAAACTGCACTAAAAAGGACACAACTAAGGGGAAAATTACCTATGTATTATAAATGTTAGTCATCCTTTCTATGAAAAATAAAAAAAATTAAAAAGTAAACCAAGTAAAAAACTTAAAACGATCTACTGTCTATATTTTTGCAAATGAATATTTGCGAAAAGTATATATAAAGAAAATGTGTCTAAATGACTAAGTGTAAAATCCCCAGATAATTGTACTGGAGATGAAATTCAGAAAGTCCTTTTAAAAAAAAAAAAAAATACTATTGTTGAAGTAACAACACCAGTGTATCCATGATCAAGAAGGTGAAACACTTTGTAAAATGTAGGTCAATACATATAGCATTACATGAAATACAATAAAACAGGTTACTGTAAATACAAGGTCAATCATGTATATAAGGGAAGTAATACAATTCTTCGTTCAAGCCCCTGGAAGACATCGTTTTAAAGGTATAAATCCACTGAGATTCAGATTTCAAAAGAAGGTGGTTAATTTAGCCTTTATGTGAATTAAGAGGATTTTTTTTAGGGTTAGCGTCATGATTAAAATGTGCATGCATTGCAATATGTGTTGAACATTCATATTAGTAATGAGTAAAGTGCTGCAAGATTCTGCCCCGGAATCATAGTTCATTTTTTCCTATATACTGTAACCCACAGGTGCACGTAATCAGGTATATTAACTGTGTTGTGCTGCAATTAACAAAAGTGCTGATTTAGATCTACGCAGAAGGCTGGTTACAGGTTAATGAGGATGATGGCTGAATAAATTGACAGGCCTTACAATTACCGCATTGGTAGACACCTTGTGTGGGAGTCAACCATGTCGATGTTTAACCTTTGTATCCTGTAGGATTTTAATTTTCAAGTCCAGAAAGACAAGTTTACATTCAACTATTATCCTCTATTTCATTAGTAGTCATCTCTACAAACAAGTCTACACTCGAAACCTCTTTAAAGTTAGGAGTAAACAAGTTTAATGGTCTAGGAGTCGTTTAGAGGAAGGGATGAATCAAATAACACTACTGTTGCCCCAGAGTAAAAAATGACTTATATTTTGGTCCCACTGTAGAACAAGCGACATAGTACAGTGAAGAGATGCCCCCATTGTTTTACATAGAATATCTGTGACAGATTTCTTACCTATTTTGGACCATGTCTCCAATAAGTGATCATTGGCAGAACAATACATGCAGAGTCCAAGATTAAGTTTTCTGTCTTTTTCTTTGGTAGATAAGGGACCTTTGATGACCTCTATTTCTATAGGTTCAAGCTCAGCAGTGATAATAGGGTTTTCTGGAATTGTGGAGATTCCCTTAGTATCCTGTCAATATTGATGAACATTTGCATTAAAGCTTCCAGGGAGGAAGAAACTCAGTATGGGATAATTCATCTTTAACAGTCTCTGAGAGGCCACGTTTGAAGTGGGTTTATACGCTAATGTTATTCCATTGTGTATCAACAGCCTATCTTTTGAATTTAGCAACGTATTCAACAACATGTTTACCCTGCTGAAGTGATCTGATAGACTCTGCTGTTCATTGTTTATTAGGATCTTCATAAAGTAATGACATAGCGTTGAGGAAGTCCTCTAGTGAGTTAGAATGGGGTCATCGGTTTCTAAGTAGTGAAAACGTTTGTTATTTGAGAAGGATATGAATGAGCCTTTAAAGCAAATAACAATTTGTTGGAGTTCAAAAACTCCCTATATTTGAAGCGATTGCCAAAGAACAATGACAATTTAGGTGGTTCGGAGGTAGAAGCCTTAATGCCTGACTTTGCAAGACTCAGATATGTTAATAATCCATCATTGTTCAGATGTCATTCATGCATTGCCTGTAAAAAGATATTGAACCCTTTGGTTTAGGGTGTTGATTTGAGCTGGTATATTCGCTGGTTCCATATCAGAAGAGGCTCCCTTATTATACCAGACCTTGATCAAGAAAATATATGCTGGAACAAAAATGTGATACAAGATTTATTACAAATGTTCAGGGAACCAAACAGGCAGAACATGCAGATAAAACAAAAGCAGGGAGCGTAAACAGTAGAGCAGATGGTAGAATTGTGTCTTCAGTTCACTGTAGAAAATTGGCTAGCTAAATCGAGGTCAAAATTCCGGTCTGTGTTCAGGTTACGAGAAGGCAGCAAATACGAGAAAACTAGCAGGCTCAGCAACAATTAGGAACATAAGGTAAGAGCTCAGGTGGCAACACTGTATCAATCAGAACAAAACGAACGTTGAACGGGAAGAGGTGAATCTGGGCAGTTTGCGATTAGATTCAGGATTTGATGATCGTGTGGACAAGAGTTTGGTTCAGAGTTGATGCAGCTAGAAGTTAGTGATTAGGGATAGAGGCAGGGTTTTGGAATAGGGTGAGGATAACAGTCTGATTCGAATTAGGATTATAGGTTAGAGTTAAGGTTTTAAATGTTTATTTTTAAGAACATTATGGTTTTTGGTGTCTGTTGAATACAAACAACCTAGAAAAAAAACACGGACTTTAAAAAAAAAATAATATAATCTTTATGTTACAACACACCATGTTTTTATTTTGTTAATTTGTGTACATTGAAATTTTTAAAGAAATCCATTTGTTTCCACTTCCCCTTTCTGACAGCCATCTTTGTGCACCTTGGGTTGGATTGCTGAGTATCTGATCCAACGTTCGCCATGCTGAAACTGTCCGTTACTTTTCAAAATCAAAACAGACAGACAGTTTACAAAAATAGTGGGCACTGGATCAGATAACATACAAAGGGGAATACAGATGGCTGTCAGAAAGGGGGACTGAGAAAGGCAGGTAAGTGATATTTTAAATATATGTGAATTTAAAAAAAATAAAAAAAATTTATGAGATTATACACAAATATTAAAAAGAAGTGATTATAGTGTTCCTTTAACACCAAGCTTTTGGCTACATAATCATGCCATATCATTAAAAGTTGACAATAAATAGTAGTAAATTTTAGAGCGTTAATCATCCTTCTCTCCAAACCTTCCTTTTGTTTTAAATCTGTTTTATCCACCATTAATTTGTTAAGTTTTTCTGGAACTTTGGAGAATACAAGTTAAAATTTGAAAATGAGGGCACATCCTCTTTTGGTTTTAGGGCTCCTGATAACTATCCAAAAACAGTTCTTGTAATATCAAAGCAATATTAACATGATTTTTATATATATTTATATCTTTGTTTATTTTAATTAAAGGGGAACTGTCACTTCTTTCGAAATTACACCACCGCATAAAACATTGAACACACCTATAACTTGTGTTAACTTTTTTGGGGGGGCAAGATGCTCGTTTAAAAAAAAAAAAAAAAAATTATATTCAAGATTTCGCAATTACTTCACAATCCAGTTTAGACATGGTAGATGAAGAGGAAAAGTAAAAACTGTTTTCATTTCTCTGTTGACTGCCAGGTGTAAAGGACATAGCTTAGAAAAGCGATTTACAGAGAGGTAAGATAGAGGCGCCTAGTTTTAGGATAAAGAGGTTTGATTTCTACATTTGATTTGATTTTTCAGACCTCACAAATTGGTTAAATGTAAGAAAATGTAATTATAACATAAAAAAATCCTGTGAAATTACAGTTTCCTTTAAAACAATTTATATTGAGTCTTTACTCTTCACGAAGTATATACTGCAGATATTTTAGTCCGGATTTCTACGTAATTGGGTGGTCCGGAACCCAGAAGAGACAGTTAGTACACTGGCCAAAATAGTAATCCTTTTGTTTATGAATTCATTGCTGTGATACTACACAATTGGGGTTCCTGGTCTCTTTCTTTCTCTCCCTGTTAAGTGTGGAAGGAAACATCAAGTGGCAAAAATCTTATGGTGTGTGGAATATATTACCTCTCAATTAGAAA